CTGGTTACTGTGATATTGTTTCAACTGACTACTGATAGATGGCGCAGTAATTAATGTGGAATGACCGAGTCTTATAATTAGATAAGCTGAGGGAGTACCTATTCCCTCTGCTTATGTAAATACCTATGTAGTAAAGCTATGTAAAAATGTGCCTATACCTATGTAGGAATGTATGCTAATATAGAAGTATAAAATTATCAATAAGCATTCTATATCGAAATAAGAGTATGTAAAACTTAATTTAGGATATACTTGTTTTATAAGTTATTACAACTGCATATTCTAATAAAAATACTTCCTGTATTATAGCCAAAATATTTAGAGAAAAACACAGAAATCAACTTAAAATTGATGCTTAAATTAAAATTGTTGTCGAGTTTATTAATACTATCCCCAGGGTTGATTCTTGTTGCAGCAGAGCAGACTTCACGGGAATTATTTGCAGTGATGTTTTGTTTCAAAATTATATTTTGTTTTTGTTCGAACATTGGTTCTACTCGAAATATTTAATGAAAACGGTTTCAAGTCTAAATGTGGTCTATTTTTACTATGTACTTCTTATTCTAAACTGTAACAACTCAAAAATAGCAAAAATCGCTTGAAATGATGGATTCTTTTATTATATTTACTACACACTATTTTTTAGACGCTCTTCACAATAAGTGTTATAGATATTTTATAGATTTGTTGAACAATCACTCTCTCACTCGCGTTATTTTATTCGAGAGATGTTCTTGTGCGACGATCCAGCGATAACCGACTACATATTATTTTTAGTTATTTTCAAACATTTATTTTGTTACTCGCTTTATATAATTAATTTGAGAGCACTCTAAGGCGTATTATGTGCGTGGAGAGTCATAGTTTCCATTCAAAACTGACGTTTCTTCTCCTGAAAAAAATAAGGTTTATTGAATTGTCTCAGTTTTGATCTAGATGTGCAATATGTATTACAGTAAAAGAAAAATCTGAATTTTTTTAAGGAAAATATACCAATCCAAATTTCCTGAAATAAAAATTCAAACCCATAACTTTCCGTAATCAACAGACACTGCTCTTACCATTAAACTACCCGAGAGTAGCAGAACTATAGCATATTTAAAGCACAACTTTCACAGAAAGAAATATTTTAAACTTTCAATTATCATGAAAATGTTTTTAGATCAAAACTGGATTCACAAATATAATAAAATTACCTTATAGGAAAATGTTACTTCTATTGTCTTACGTACGGTTAAAAATACCCAATAGGCGTTTAAATGTGTAATGGTGTGCCTTTCCACCGTTTATTTTTCCTAGGTTTCAGCATGCAAACTTTTTGTCTTTGATATTCAACATCATTATACTCTTTATGGATGTCAGTTCGTAAAAAAACCATCTGTTGGAAACATGTCAATAACATATATTATAAATTTAAACATAAAATTTTATTAATGATTGTTAATAATAATGCATGAGTAATTATAATAGAAATTATATAATATACTAAAAGTGTATTCTGTAACTTGGACGATTCAAGTTTTTATCAAAACACCCAAAAAGAGGTATGTATTCGTTTTATTTGATAATTTTAATATTATATTTAGGTAACTTACGAACCGTGTTTATATTTTTTTTTTGTTTGTTACAGTTTCTTTACTTTATTCTTTATGGTATTAAATAAATCCATTCTCAAACTGGACTCGGTCTTTCATTAATTGGCCCAAGCACCGAACCCGTCACAAATGTGACATTGCCGTTCAATGCACTGGCTGATCTATATACTTTTATGAAAATAAATCGCCGAAATATATGTACGCGCATAACTTCCGAACGACTGCATCTTAATTGGATGATTTTTTTATGTATTCCTTATTGTCAGGACACGGTTTGTATATAAGAAAAGTTATAAAGTTTATTAAAAACGGGTATATTGCGGTTTGAAGTTCGCTAGTTCAGCTAGTTTGATATAAAATTAAGCCTGCTTGGTCAACGATTTCGTTAACAAAACCAGATAGATCGTTACGTACCTAAGCATATATGTACAAGTATCGACATCAAAAGAGATATAGAGTACAAAACTAAGCCATCAATCTAAGCTATCAGTGTTTTAGGGATAAATGGGTTTTTTTTATACAACGTCGACCTTTTAGGAATAAATGGGTTTTTATTTACAACGTCGCCCTAAATTCCTTTGCCCTACAGAAATGGCGACATATTAATTAAAACAACAGTGAATATGTCATTATATATATTCGTGAATCTTTTACATGAGTGTAATTTAAATAATTCTTTTATTAACACACAACAAATATTATAACACATACGTTATAAGGGACAGCTAATCGATTCATTACCCGCTTCCAAGTGAGCCCAAGCTTTAAGATTTTATAAAGAGAAACACATTGTTGGTACCAACGTTGGAGCAAATGAAATCGATCTGTCGTTTAATAAATACTTTGTGAAGGTTCTATATTTTGCTAAACAACTCTCTACGTAAAGCCCGTCGCTAAGATATGCTTTCATCGTGCCCACTACGGACTCACAAACATAGCTCTAGTTACAATACGCCTAAAGGTTACACTGTCTAAACTTGCCATAGGTAATATTTTTGATGGTGTAACAATCATAAAATTGTCACCGTCAAAACGAATGAAACCTTGACTCTCCAAAAACCACCCCAACGATCTTATCTCATTAAATCCTATTTTCAGAATTATTTATTAAATAAGCATAGTAAATAAAGAGATTTTCACATAGTGTCCTAGTGAATTTAAGTTGCTTAATTTCATTTGATAGATATTAAAGCTCTCTTGTTAAATATTGTAGCATTTAAAGGAATAAGATCGTTATCCAATTAAAAGTGTTCTTTGTGTGCATTATGCTTAATTGATTTCGTCAAATTGACATTACAGAAGTCTAAAAGATTTTGCGACCTCTTTCTTATAAATGGCTTAAATCATAATAGCTTTAACATGAATAAATTTCACTACTTTAGCGATACATTTCATTATTGATTTGTTTAAATTATTCCGCATTTGTTAATTTGGCGTCGTAAATATTAATCATAAAGTTATAAATTTTAATATTTTTTTATTATATCGTTACGTAATTTGGTATACTTATATGAAGCGACAAACGATATCGTCGCAAAACTTCGATGAGAACCTCCATGTGTTTGATAAATCATTATCAACACGTGATACCTTAACTAATTCACCTAATTATTAGTATCTAAAAAAATAATGTGCTCATGTTTCAACAGAATTTGATATAAATCGTATTGTCTATGTCATCTACAGATAATAGATCTACTGTTAGCCCATGATCAGGGTACAATTATAATTTAATCGAAATTACGTACTCAGGTGATGCTTAAGAAATCAAACATTAGTTATCCAACGTTATAATTTTACTTACCTTATAGTACGTGATTAAATAAATACCTATAGTTAGATATTAACATAGCATAGGTAACAAGAATACAAACTGATTTATATAGTAAGTAGATATAATACTATACAATTGTTTATTTATACACACATAAACGTATTTACAATCATTTTTAGGTAACACTATATTACCTAAATTTTAGAACATTTAATAATTCGCAGGCCAAGATTATTCGAAGCATACCGCTACATATAAGAATACACTGTAGATAACGTTGATTTATTAACTTTAAGGTACACATATTAGTTTACATCAAAATAGAATGATTTATAACAACAATAATACATATTATGATCTAAACTATCTTATAGAAGATGCAACATAATCAACACTCATAGTAAGGCAGGCGACCCCGTTGTGGCATTTTTAAATTACGAGCCAGTTCTGGCCATTTTAAGAGTTACTAAGAAGTTTTACTTTAACACATCATTATCGAATAATAGCTGTTAACGCTGTTAGTTTTTGCTATAATTCAACATTTAAAAAACCGTTCATGCTAAAGTAATGTGTTGCCTATGCGTTAGTTAGAACGCTTTCAAGTTCCAAATGGCCAAAAAAGGCACTGACCAAAACCGGGTCTTGTGCCCTAAATAATGACCTCAATTCTCAAAGTACTCTTCGTCAATTAAAGTCAGAAAAGATTTACTAACGGAAAAAACGACAAGGAGAGTCCGAATCCAAAAAATCTTTACAAAATACGAACTTTCTGAGTTTATTTCATATTCTATGGTATTTTTAGTATAAAAAAAAATCTGTTCCAAAGAGGCTTAATTTACAGAGCTTCCTACAGAATTGAGTTTCTTTTCCATTATTTTCAAATTAAACCGAGAAATATTGCGCTATTTTTTCATAGTTGCTAAGTTTGATTTTAGTACATACGAGGGGCTATCTTTTGGTCCGAGATTCCTGAACTCAACTACATAAATAATTACAATGAGACCCCGTTCTGTTGATCTCAAGTATCATTCCAAAATAGGATCAAATCCGTATTCGAATCATTTTACATGTGTAAAATTGTTTTATACAAATATGTCGTTGTAAAACTTTAATATAGGCTATATATCCTTTTTTATTATTAAAAAAGTTATAAGAGCAAAACTCAAGGAAGCGTTAGTTGAAAACAATTTATAAAGCATAAACGATTAAATTTAAAGTATTAACAACTATTACAAGTATCAGATCCCTACTCCAGCTCGCAATATACATAGATATAGCTACCTAACACCTATAAAGAATCAATAATACTAATACATTTTTTCATTAAATGTTACACAAGTTAACAACGTTCAATTTAATTTCTTACATTATTTTATGCTTGACATTATAACTATAAAAACAATAAATACAATTTATTTAATAAAATCATTACAGAAATATTTAATGCATTCTTAATTTTATAAAGGATATATAATATATATTTGGGGTCTACATTTTATCAGTTTTAATAAAGCTCAAATCATTATATGCAAATAAATTGTTATACCTGCAATGAGTGTCAAATAGTCTTCTCAATTAAAAATATTAAAACAAAAAAAATCACTGAAACTTGACTTGTATTTGGAATATTATTAACAGTTGCAATTGGGGGTGCTGTTACCCTGTGGTTGTTCAGTGAGACGTTGCCCACGCGCTCCTCCGGCCAACATGGCTGGTTCGGAATCCAAACTTTCGGACATTTTATCGCAGATTATGTCGACGAGTCTTTCAAACACAGCCTGAAATTTATTATTTGGTTTTGTAACGCTATTTATCAGTGGTTTCGCATTTAAAAATAAATTGTATTTTAAATATAAATGGTTTAAGATATTTAAGATATCGACAGAATGAAAAGAATGCCTTGATGTCGACAGTGAACAAATAATAGTTTGTGCCGTTAAAGTGATTGTTGGGTTGATGAAGTGTGTTCAGTTACTGTTCATATCGCAATCAATGGCGTATCTAGCTCCATAACAGCCGTATATTTGATACGGAACCCCCGAGCGACATATATGTACCCCTTAACAAATAATTCTTCATTCCGGCCTCTTAACTAATTTTGATACAGGCCCCTGAAAGGCAAGCTATTACACTGACCGCAATACAACATTCAGCGTTTACATTCAACAGACCCGAAACTTTTACGGTGTGGCAATTCAAGGAGTTCCACAAACTTTATTATCTCGTTGACTATAATTGCAATTTTTTTCTTAATGTTTGTGGAACCCCTGCTGATTCATGTTTGCTACCATATTCTTAGAATCCGTGAAAAACTGAAAATTAGATGTAAATCACCTAATCTACATTTTTTTTGCATTTTCAGGGTTTACCAAGTCGACTTTGTGAATCACAGATCTCGGGAAGAAGTTAGCAAAGTTCTATATGCTAAACACCAATATTCCGAGCACAAATTAGGAGCTGATAGAATAATTGTTATACTAGTATTGTATGACATAGATGACGCTCATGATATTGCGATTGTGATAGTTTCATCACAATGTATAGAATTTGTTGCACTATATCCGATCGTAGACCTAAAATCACTGACTTTGAACTGTTTTGTGCAAAGATATAAGCTGTTAGTAAAAAAAAAATACAGAATTCCATACATAATGTTTTCTTTGAATATTTATTTTGTTTTACAAATCTTATGTCCCCGTTTTGGCAAACAAATCAGCAAATAGGATTAACATAACCTTTAAGGATCAGAACTAAATCAGGATCAGAATAAAAGACCTTTCCTATGGATGGAATTCAATAGGCAAAACCAATCATATAATCAATGCGAATTGGTAGGCGTTTAACACTACTTATGCAGCCGGGAGCAACGGCTTAATCTGCCTTCCGAAGCACGAAAGATTTCGGGGTTACCACTTTTTGGCACCCATTTATGACCGTTACGAAAGTTGATCAACAGCCGCATCGCAAACTGAATGCACTAACCATTGCGTCATCGAGCTCCATACTCAATAATATCGATTTCATATTCTTTCGTAGGTATTTGTGTTATTAACATCAATTTATATTTGATTTAAAGGAAGATACTTGCAAATTAGAGCAGCATGAATAGAAAATGATTGTCTCACCTTGACGTTGATGTTTTCCTTAGCACTTGTTTCGTAAAACTCGACGCCGAGTTGTTCTGCGAGCTGCCTGCCCCTCTCAGCGCTCACCACCCGTTCTTCTTCCATATCACACTTATTGCCTACCAAAATTACTTGCGCGTTGTCCCATGAATAGGTTTTGATCTGTGTCACCCTGAAAATAGAATAACTCATATGAATATAACACAATTTCATTTTAACCTTAATTCATGTCATGTGTATAATTATCTGAAAATAACGCTCACGGTTAATTTTTTATAAGTTATTATTATAAGAGTATATGTATTATAAGAGTAACGTTTTTTAGACAGTGAATAAAGAAATTTTAACTCTTTTATTAGAATTACACCAAGACTCAAGGCAATACTGAAAAATAGTCATCACGTAAAATAATATTATATTTTTACAATTTCAATAATAATAAATTTAAATTGGACTATGATGCCTATTTATTTATATTTTACATACTCTGGAAACCTTATTTATGATTTAAAGGCTTCAAAGGGTAAAAAATAATTTTAATATGAAATATTATAACACTCAGGACTGTGAATCAAATAAAGTCAAAATAATTACCAATCCTGGACGCTGTTGAAGCTTTCTTCATTGGTTATATCATACATCAAAATAAAACCCATAGCGCCTCGGTAATATGCTGTGGTGATAGTGCGATAACGCTCTTGACCTGCTGTATCCTAAAATAACATGGCATGGAATATATTATTTTATTTTCAATAAGAAGACACTTCATTCATTTGATGATGATTTCTTTTTTTACACCTATACTCCATTCATTATAACATTAGAAAAAAGAGAACAACAGAAGCAGTTGTGCAGAACATTTTATTTTCATGATAATTTTTAAAAATATATGAAATAGTTTTGTTGATACTTTGAACGTTAGGTAGTCTGAAAGAGCAATTTTCCATTTTTTTACGATACCTCGGGGTTGAGATGAGGACAGGATTTTCCGTTCTTTTGATTTTTATTTTGATAAATTCTAATTGTAAGTGTATAATCAGAATAGAATTTAGTTATAAATATTTATTATTACTTTTATAACATTTATTCAGATATTATTAGATTGTTGATTAAGATATTGGAAAAACTTCCTGAAATGTCAGAAATAATTATTGAAGGCCATTCGGACCTGCACCGGAATCATCCATATTTAGCAAAACTTAACATCAAAAAGATAACAACAAAAACAAAACTAGAAGAAAACAACAATAATACAATAACAAGTCAATCACGGAATACGATAAAACAACAAGAAAGGCTATAACATTCACAATTAATGAGGATCCCATATTACGTATTTTGACTATTATGAATACATCATAATCTGACAAAATTAAAAAGCTGTACTACTGAAACGTTTGAAGGGATTAGGCAACGTTTTAAATTTGGTAGAGTTATAGTGACATGAGAATCGTGCCGAGACTATCCAACCCTGCCTCTCTAGGTTCTTTAAGATGAACACTTTTTATTGTAAAAGTTATTAAATCTTTTAAGTTAGTCAAATACTCATAATTTTGTTTAACAGATAGCTTAAACGACAACTGTTAAGTATAGCAGCTGGTATTTAAGTGGATATGTAGCAAATAAGCCGTCAGTCTTAAGAGTAACATGATTGTTAATCGTTTGTCTAGTTGTATACCATAAAAAGAACCTTATTTAACTTCTGTCTAATGCTATAATGAATGGAGTGTAGGTTCATGGCGACGTCAGTGAAAATTTGTGATCTGTCTATCGTAGGTACAATTTTAGTCACCAACCTAAATATCAATATAAAACCTAAATATCTATACAATATAAACTTAGTATGAAACAAAGTCGCTTCACGCTGTTTGTACTCTGATTATTTAAACTACACAGTGGATTTAATACGGTTTTTATCAATATACAGTAATTGGGAGGAAGATTGATGTGTTTAATAGAGGACCACGAGGGCGAAGCACTGGCGGTAATGTAGTAAAAAATAAAATACCTATTAAGTGAAAATAATAGTTCTAGAAAGAGCCAAAAAGATATAATGATTAAATTCACAAATATTCTCCAGCAAGAATGGACAATAGGCTTAGAAAAAAAATAACGTCTTTAGACTACATGAACGTGAACACTCTCTCGGCATTTTAAATGACACAAAATACAAAAGAAAATACTTGTTAAAAATGGGGCTTACGAAAATGTATAAGTAGTAGACAGATCGGAAGCCGTAAAGGGATGTATATTTAAGTAGGAACGTTTATCAAAGTAATTTCAGTGAGTACGAAGAAGCGAGCCAGAGCTTTATAATCTTGATGAGGCACAAAAAGCTTTTGATTTGTATTCCTTATTTACTTTTATATGAGTTTCGTATTTACTGCTTATTTTTTCGAGTTAATATAGTCTGATATAATAATTATATCGTCTATAAAAAATAAATTATGTATAATATATGGGTTTAATTTACCACAATTCTTTGTACATTTAAATAAAGAAGATAATTATAATAACAATTTTACGGATGTGATCGATTAATTGAAAGATGAAATGATGGATGGACAAATAAGTTTCATGCTGTACAATTCTTGAACCGTACCCATATCTGGAGTTTGACGCGTTTGTCATGACGGAAGACTGTCTTCACCTTGAAGTCAATACCCACGGTCGATACGAAGGCTGAGGTGAACGAGTCATCCGCATATCGGAACAAAAAACTGGAACAAATACGATGTTTGTAATTAAGAGCCAGTTTCACTACTGCTGATAGATCTGAAAGAGGGTTCATGGAATATTTTTCCACGGGTAAATCAATATCAGTCTGATTTTATCACATCAAGGATATTGACACCGAATGAAACTAAACGCTCGTATATATTAGTAGACGTATAGGGCTTACATCTAGGATTTCTTTTTCTGTGACAACTATTTCAGTGTACGCAAAGAAAACGCTAACAAGACAAAATATTTAATTACAAAATTAGTTAAATCGTCAAGAAAATAATAAGTATATTAATCATCGCGTAACTTTGTAATCTAAATTTATTATACCTGTACCTGTGTCCTTTAATCGGTTTCTTTGATTTCATCATCGAATAAGTTATTAATCTATACGTATTATATAAGACAAAGTCGATTCCTGTTATCATTATCCTAAAATCCTCTTAACTACACAACAGTCCTTAATGCGGTATCATCAATAAATATTATTCAATATATAGATGATTTAACAGAAGGTTTATATATAACACGGGACCACGCGGACGAGACCACTATAAGAAAGTTAATTAATAAATAAAACAGATTACATATTACAAAAGAACATTATATTCATTGCGTAGGTACTAATAGAGAACCTTTATTTTGTTCGAAGAATAACATAGATATACATTAACTCGGATTGTCTAAACTAATACATGAATGTTTCGTGAATGAACTTCATAAATTTCTCCCAGTGGACAAATTAAAGCCATTGAACGCATTTCGAAGGAATTATGCTACCCGACATTAAGTTTTAGCATAGATTAAAAACTTTAATCTCACCCGGTAACTTCAGTGTGGATCTCGAAAATGGTAGGTTTTCTATTAATTTTAAACGGTTAAATTACTATATATTCAGATTAAATTAAATCTCTTTATAAAACGTACCTTGTTTTTCCCACAGAACTGTTTCCTATGATGAGAAGTTTGAACATGTAGTCGAAGTTCTGGTCCGCTGCATCTTTCTGCCATTTCGGATCACCACCGCCAGCCATCTGCGAAGGTTTTTGAATAGTCATCGTAAATAAAATAGGCAAAATGTTTCCCAAATTGGTCTTCCTCGTTTTCTTTTTCGCAACCCTTTAATGAATGTTACAAAACAATGACGTAGACATTCCAAAGTTTCATGGAACTTCGGGCTACATTTTAACAACTCGTATGGCTTGAAGGAAATCTTAAGACATTTAGCAACTCTCCTATTCGATGTCGGTTAATAAGTTGTGAAATGGAATTTCCATTTGCCTGACTTAATGTTAAATTTTTAAAACTATACATTGGATTTTTTAAAACTATACATTGGAGTTTTATACTGATGAAAGTATACATAAAGTTTCGTGAGGAATGTTTAAATGCAAAATACAGGACTACGCCAGCGAAGCCACTGGAGGTGTAAAGAAGTAAAATTTAATTATAAACTTAATTTCAACGAACTTAATATAAATGTTTAGTTTATTATTGTGTTGTAAGAAGATTATAAAAAATATATATATAAAGATTTGTACCTCTTCATGTTGCTCTGAAGTATTATTATCGGTGGCAACTAATTCTTTCATTGTTGATAAAATTTTGGAAACATTCAACATCTACAATTACAATCGCACGACTACTGTAATGTTGCTGTATGTGTACCCTATTCTTACAGTTTAAGTAATACAACCAATTTCAACTCTATGCCATCGAGTAACGGTATTTTTCTCTTTGAAAACTTCTAGTTTGCTAATATCAGCTACATTCGTTATCACTTTGTTGCGGAAAAAAAACAAATTGGTCCTTATTTTCTATGCCGTAAAAAACAAGGTAGTTAGAATGTGAAAAAAGTGTCAATGTGAAACGGTAGTTTCTAGATAATGCCGGCATGTATATATCCTATTTAAATTATATCGGGCACAGGACGCACGTTATTTGAATAAAAAAAATATATATATATTCGTATACCAGTTTAAATCTTCACAAGGTCTTTGGTCACAATGTGTTTGTCAGAGAATTCCCTGTGGTGAAACTTATTACTTTTTATGAACATATCAGCGTGTGACGAATTTTCTTATTTGGCAATAAGTAAGTAGCTACAATATTTTTTCATCTTTAATTATGATACTCTGAACTAGGAATAACAGAGTCTTGTATTTGTAACGATATGAAATCTATTATATTTGATCCATTTTGCATTCAGAATACTATACCACAGATACACATAAATTATAACTATACCGATAACAAGAAGATGGGACTCGAACCTGCTCCAGTCCTGTTGGGTAACAGTTAGCTCAATGGTTAGAGCAATCGCCCAGATTGCGAAAAGTTGTGGGTTTGTGTCCATCAAGGGGTACCTAGGACTGGTGGATTTTTCAATAATTCACCATTAAAATTTTCTACATATTATCCAAAGAGATTAATATAGTAAGTATAGTTTTATGTATTTGATATTATCAGACAAGATTTGTCTAAAGTAGGTCTATCTCTATTATCAATATAATACTCTTTTTGTTTTTAATAACAGGGAAATATAGAGTTCGAAAAAATATTTTATTAACGATTTTAAAAGAATATATTATATTATTAAAAATCATAAAAAGGTGCTATTCGCTTTCGAACGTCCATTTTATAAGTTTTTAAAATTATTAACACGAAATTTAATAGGTTGGTAGATTTAAGAAAAATCGGTAAAAACTTATTAATATTCTAAATAAGTAGATTATATAGGGCTCAGTACATTTTATACAGTAATTTGTAACAGGGTTAATAAAAAAATATTTTCATATCTTAAACAATAGAAATACAGATAAACAATATTTACCTTTTATCACTTTTCTTATATTAAGTCGAACACGTAACTTTAATATCACTATTTATTTTTTATCACCAGAATTCCCTTCAGCGGTGTAATAGGAGTGTGTCCGCTATATCTGTCTCTTTCACATTCACCAAGTAATGAAGGACCGAGTGCCAGAGTTTTACGCGTTTATCGATTTCTCGTAGCTGTTTTACAGTTTCTATTTAGTTCAATAACGCTCTTAAATTACATATAAAATCACTCCCGTTAAACTAAACACGAATCATAGTATCGATAGTTTTGTAATTTTAACTATAAAAAATCGATAGATCGCTTCTTACTTCGTTACTCACTCTTATTATTTTTTGATGCACGACAGTGTTATATGACGATCACTATTATCCTTAATACTTGTGTGTGCGTTATTTTCGGATTTTATTCTCGATTTAAAAATAATAACACTCGTACGCGAGTGATGTTTCTTGTTCACAGCTGTTACGTCCTACGACCTCCCTTTCACAGTGAGATGGGGATGGGAAAAAAGTCCAAACATGGCGTCTACTGCGCGCGCAAATGCCCACGCAATCTGTCAAACTAACAGATAAATCCAATATGAATGGTTTAAAAATAAATTATTGATATTATTATTTTATTATATATTCTGTTTAAATAGATTTGAACTATTTAAAATTTTAAGATACATCTTTAAGTATACTTTTATTATAATAAGTTTAAAATAATAAATATTGAAAATCCGGATAAATCCATCAACGTCTTAGGACAGCGGTATTCATATATTAAAAATTATAACGTATACTTAAGATTCCTTTTATATCACATGAATATGTAAAAGGAAGAACATAGAAATGTAATTTTTGACGCGAGCTTCTTCAAAGTAGACAGTTATTAGATTTATCTTTTATCCTTAGCTATCTACTTCAATATTTTATGTAAAGAAAATATTTTTTATGTTCCGCGAAATGGAGGAATTAGCCTTATTTTTATGTAGTTATTACAATTTATAATATTGATGATAATCTACACTAATTTTGTAAAGAGAACTTTTTTTTTTAATAATGAACAAGCTCAAAAGTACTCAAGGAAATAAAATTCAAATGCACTTTATTTTATCAAAAAATGGCACAAGAAATAATAATAGCTATAATCAGTATAGTCTATCTGCGATGATTGTAATTGATTGTATTATCTATTACAGCGTGTGTCATTTAAGTATGTACTGTTAATAAGCCATAAAATAAGACAATATAAAAATTATAACAATGATGTAAAAAAATCTCAGATTTACACACTCGATCATAATTATCCACTATAAGGTTTTCACTAAGAGAATTTGTTACAAAAATTTTTAATTCACATTTAAAATCGATACATTATGAATTACATAAAAAGCTCTTATAAGAAGCCAATTTGTAGCCATGGACATTTTGTAATAATGAAAATCTAATTTAGTATTGAATAATTTTGTTTTATATATGAATGATGAGGAAAGGAGTTTTAGAAAACTAAATAATACTGGCTGGATTTATTCAGGAATTAAGTAAAAATGCAATTGTGTTATACCAGCTACAGTAAGTACTCGTAATGTTCCGCCTGGAGCCTTGACCCGATGACCCAATTGCATACATGCGAATAGCGTTCCCATATTAATCGCTATATTTCCGAGAAACAAGTTTTAATTATGAACTAAAATGCATTGGTAGTTTCTCGATATTGACGAGAATGGCAGCTGCAAAGAATTGGATGGATACTAAATAAAATTGAGGAAATGAGGACAGTAAACATTTTCACACCTATAAAATATAATAAAATAAATATACAGGACTTCGTCGTCATTCTTGTGATGTTATAATTGAAATATCATTACAAATTGAATTATCATTACAAAACCCTTATAAATATAATAAAAACATAAAAGTAAACTCAAGACGCGGATGTTTTGTGTAGATTATTAATATCAACCGTCGACTTTAATAGAAGTTCCTTTTATAAAGTGACGAACAAAGGTTCAGGGTTTAAAAAACGTTGGAATCTACCAGAATATCTAACATAGCTCATTAAAAGAAGAAGTTGGTAAAAAAGAATTTATAATGCAGTAAACCTCTTTTGATGTTTTTTCTAATCTTTAAAAAATATACCACTTGCTTTGAGTAATAAGTTATTAGAAATGATAATGAAATAACAAAAAAATACTATATTTATAAAATTTACTTCTTTTTTTTTTGGAAATTTCTTCTGAATCCAAAATATGTAAAATTTTGTATTCTTTAGTAAGCCATCTATCTACGGCAACCTAAACTAATTTCAACTGTTTAGACCCTTGGGCTTAAGATATAGTCGCTAGCTTTTCAGGAGTGGATAGCTGAAGCAGTATTATACTTCTTGTACCCAATCATAGATGGCGTTGTGGCATAATGATGGCATGATTGGCGACTTGTAATGCTAATTTAAATTAAAGGTTTAAATACTCTTTGCTTTGCATAAATAAAAATAATAATATAACACAACAAAGAACTTTATATATTTTAACACTTTGATGTTTAAATTTATATGTTACTGAATTTGATAGACATCAAAAGCTTGTTTATTGGATTCGACGAGTTTTACGCCTCATTACTATTTTACTACCTGCGTATCAATTCTGATGTCTCATCAATGAGCTGTTTAAAAAAAATTAAGCAGCTTTAAAACTTAATTTTTATAATTTTAATAAATTTAAAACAGAATTAAAAAAATAAAATAGTTTTTGTAAAACCTTAAATAATAAAAAAGGTGATCTTTATTAGATATTTATTAACGTAGGGTATCTAAACACAACCTTATCTGGAGTACTGTTTAAGGTGGATGTTAACTCTCGTTTAGTTACATATTCTTTTATAAATATTGCATTACATATCCTGTCTACTGTACTAGATACAAATACTACACAAATTATTTTTTCGACTTTCAAGAATGCTTGGCAATAGTTATTTTCATAAAGGTGATGTAAGTTTTGAGTTGACAGTTAAATCTTTGAATGTAGATGGAATGGTGTTCGTGGCTTGTGGTTTGCATGTGTGGTTAAGATGGCTATAGAATAAACATTGTTTCAGGGTATACATACAAAGTAAGAGTTGACATGAAATCTGCTTATTTAGTTTTATACGTTGCATTACTTTCGAGATGAATTTTTATTTTTTTATATAATAAAAAATATTTCCAGTAGTGAGTCAGACACGCACGCGGTTCTACACAAATAAGTAGGTATAAAATTTAAAAAGAACATAGTTTTTTTTTCGCTAATACCTAATAGTTTTCATAGTGTATGTATTACTTATATTAATAAAATATACAAATTCCAATTGAGAATTTTAAAAACGATAGTTTTACCTCAAATCAACGCTAAATATGATTGTAACGATAATGGCCTTTTTAAATACTGTGGAGTTTTGCCAATTTTTTCTCAGGTAAAGTACGCTCTTCACAAGGAATAATTTTTTTGAGAGTAACTTTTGAAAAAAAGAAGCACTCTGTGTACACGCGCGCCATTTCAAACAACAGATTTATGATCGAACGGGCTAACAACATATATGGCGAGCGCACGGCCAGTTACATCGTACCACGAATAATTAACGAACTACCACCGGATTTAATACAGCTTATAAATCATAACAACTTAAAGAAATATTATTATTACTTAAATGTTAAAATTGCTGTTTTTAATAATATAATTTTATTCCTAGCACATGAGTACAAACCTTCTTGGTTTCTTTTCACGGCTTAGTT